ACCCCTGGTTGTACAGATAAGTAAAACTAGAGTTGGATTAATCTTTGACTATTTCCCACAGATTGTTATTTTCCCCTCATCTTTCCTTTCTTTGCAGCTAGGAGAAATCTGTATCAAAATGTCACCTATGGAAAACTGTCACTACAAAACCACAAGCTGGTTTTCCAAATATTTCCTACATTTGGTTATTTGACAACTGTCATGCTAAGTAAAACTTTTAATCAACGTTTTTTCAACAGAGGGATAGTCTAGATTTTTCAGAATAATCAACCCCCATATATTAAGTTTTATCATGCTATTTATTATTAGTGAGATATTGGTTTGAGCCCTAAAGCATGTTTTAATATTTCTTTCAGAATATATTTTTAGCAATAACATTAGTAATTCCGGAATTTTTACTCTCTGTGTAAATGTGCAATTTCTCTTTACCTCTCACTATTATTTTTTTTCCTTCAGTGCTTCCTTGGGCAATAAGTCATGCAGACCAATTACTGGTATCTTGAGAATATATTCACATTTATTGGTTTTGAATATGCTACCTGTTAATTTCATGGTGTAATTCTCTGGGGGTGTTTTTTGTTGCAGCTCAGGATGAACAGTAGTTCCCAAGAGAAACTCTTTATAACATGCTGTATCTTATAGTTTTACACAAATAATTTAAGTTAATTAATATAGTCCTCAAGTACTACTTAAATTAAATTTGTTTGAACCTTTCCCTCTCCTTTTCAGTTTGCTGAACTGACTTGGAGACGAAAGTAAGACAAAAGTTGCAAAATAAGGGGTAGGTTATTTTGTACAGACACTGCTGCAAGATTTTCTAGTGCCGGAAAGATAAAAATCAGAGACTCTTAATAAAAAATCCCAAATCAATGGATCTCTGATTAAAAACTAGGCTTGATCCAGACCATTGTAAGAGTAAACAAAGTATTTTTATTTCACTAAGTTTCAATGAAACCAGAATGGGCCCCTTGTGAAAGTTGCCCGTTACCAATTTGCAGCAGCATGATCATAGGCAACCCCTGTTACTACTCACTTTCTCTTGACTTTGTTTTCACAACCAAAGATAGAGTCCTACATGCCCTTGCCAAATAGAGCACTTAGAGATTAGATAATTTTGTGAACTAAAGACGCTTTTGTTCACCATTCTGGCTGACTGATGAGTTGTTTGTCCTATTTTTTATGACAACATTTAAAAATATACCTGTAGTACAATCCATGTCCCTAAGGAGCATTTTAAGAAGTTAGTAGATAGAAAGTACCATATGTGCAAACCACTGCAGTGAGTTAAGAAGATTCTTATTGAAGATTCAGTTGAGTCTTTTGAACTGAAAAAAATATTTGTGGGGTTTGTTCTGAAACTTACTAAATTGCTTTCATTATATTTCTGCAGCTAAAACAGATGTCTTTTGATATTGTGCTATTCATCTTTTATTAATTATCTACTTAGACATATGAACAAACCATTTGAAAACTACAAGCATTAGCAAAGTGAACTCTTCTGTATTGGATACACTCAAAATTTTCCTCTTAACTAAAATGTCCCTCATTAAAGGAAAATATTTAGGTATTGAGACAATATCCGCTGTATTCATAAGCCTATAGTTGAACTTAATAACTAACTTATTTTCTAATGGAAATCTATGTGTGTGTTGCTTGCACATATTGATGTTGTTAACTTGTCTTTCATGGATAAATTAATTGTCTGCTCTAACAAGCAGGAAAATCATATATATAACATTCTATATATATAGTAAGACAGATCTCAGCCTGGGTTTTTTTACCTCAGGTGGGTTCTTAGACATTGGATTAGATATGCTACATCAATAAATCATCTCTACAACATGCAGAGTAAAGTTGTAAAATATTTTGGGTGCCTTGCAGTGCAATTTAACAGGCCTAATAAGCATTTAAATTCCTGGTTCTTTCACTTTTAAATTGCTGAAGATCATCAATAAAACTTCTGAAATGCTCATGTACTTATTGAGGGGAAAGGAAGGATGGAAAAAGAGAAAAGCATCTCTACTATGGCTCCAGCCCAGGAAAAGAAAATCATAGTGCTGAAAATTTTTTCCAAAGAACAAAAACAAGACAAAAAAACACCCCTCTTCAGAAGAGGAGTAGTGTCCCTCTATACTGGGTTTGACTGTTGAATTGGGGTTACATTTCTTCATAGTAGCTCATGAGGTGCTATGTTTTGGATTTGTGACCAAACCTGTGTTGATAACATAGGGCTGTTTTAGCTCTTGCTGAGCAGTGCTTGCATGGTGCCAAGGTCTTTTCTGTTACTCATTCTGTTCCATCAGTGAGCAGGCTGCAGTGCACAAGATTTGGAAGGGAACACAGCTGTGAGAGCTGACCCCAGCTGACCCAAGGAATATTCCATATTACATGACACTCTCTCAGGAGAGAAGCTGAGGGAAGGAGGTGGAAGGGAAGGTGGAATTTTGAAGTTATGCCCAAGTCACCATTACCTATCAGGCCCTGCTTTCCTGGATATGGCTGAACATTAGCCTGCCAATAGGAAAAAGGGAATAAACTCCATGTTTTGCTTTGCTTCTGTGTGGGGCTTTTGCTTTACCTACTTTATCTCAACTCAAGGGTTTCCTCACTTTTTCCTCCTTCCACTTCTCTCCCAGGTCCTGCTGTGAAGCCGGATGGAACTGAATCAGCTCAACATAGCACTCTTGGGAGCAGCACCTTAGACATGCTGTAATATGCATTCAGTACAGAAATTATGCTGTCAGTAATTGCTTTTTAGATTGTCATTTCCAATTCTTTAACTGTAGGTCCCTGCTCCCTAAAAACAAACAACTTTCTTTGTCTGAAAATCCCTTCTTCAGAGATAATCCTTAAAATATATTTTGATATGGAAGAAGAGGTATAAAGTTGGTGAAATAGATGATACCTTTAAATCATGCAGGCCTGCACAATTAAGCAAAATGTGTATGAGAGAAAATTGGGGGTGCATAATATTTTTGCAAATAAGAGAGATTTAAGTTGGTGGATTGATGCATAACTTTTTAATCATAGAAAATTATTTTAGTTAAAGAGACCCCTTTTAATTCTTCCTGCTTGCTCACTAAGCCATTGTCCAACACCACTGATTATCATAACAAAACATCAGAGTCAATTATGAGCATTAAAAAAAACTGGTACACAAAACCCACTAAATTTCACAGTTTGGTGGCCTCTAGGTCTCAAAGTACTTTTATAGTTGGTTTTTTTTTTTCAATCATCACTACTTGCAATAAAGACAACCCAACCAACTAAGCACAGACCTTTCAAAAGTTGGATTTCTAAGGAAGAAAAACTTAATATTTCATATCACTGTAAGAAAATATAGAAGTATGCCCACACAGAATTTGATCAAAGGTCCACCTTTCTCTGACACCAGATTTAAGAACTTTTTACATTTTAAGACCAGGGTCACCTGCAGTAGTCATTCTCCAAACTGTTTCCTTTTCTCTAAAGACTTGCATTTCAGGTGATGCTTTTGCATTTCATAGTCTTGATGGATTTATTCTATGAATTTGGACAGTTGCATATTTAACCCACGTAAGATTTTAGCCTCAAGGCATCCCATGGGAAAGACTTTGAAATGTTGCTTGCACAGTGCATAAAAAGTTCTCTCTTTCTGTCTGTTTGGAGCTGTCACTCCCAAGGTTGGCTAGCAAATTCACAATAATTGGAAATGCAACACTTGTGAAAACAAGACTGGTGAATAATGTGAAGTGGTGTCACAGTTTCCTGTGGCAGGTGATATTAGATAAGATTATTAAATGGCACAATTGCTCAGATCTTGGCAATATGAAGATGAAGGAAAAGGCCTCTGTGCCACTTTGTGTGGCTGAAGCTACTGGGGAAAGTCTTCTGGCTCACCAGAAAGATCAGATGAGCTTGTGGTGAAGGGGTTGCAGAGGGTACAAGGTGAAAAGACTGATAAGGAGAGAGAGCAAAAACACTTCAGACACCTCACATGTCATTGAAGCTATCACAAACCAGCAGAAATGCACAAAGGTCTGTTGATAAATTAATACTTCTTGTTATGAGGACAAAATATATGAATGATGCAATTGAAATTCTTTATAACTTAGGAGGGCAGGCCTGCAGAAGTAAAAGACCAAAGCTATTAAATATTGTGTCTAGTGGAAACAAGATACTAGGAGCTGGACATGGAATAAAGTTAAAGCATAAAGGGAGCATAGGCTGAATATAGAAAGAAAAAAGAAGAAAAAGAAAAGATACAATAAAGATGGAATCAGGTGTATCCATTTATGATAGAATTTCAAATATTTCCTCCCACATCCATCCAGAAGGGATCACAAATCTGAGGGTCTCTTGTGTCCCTTAATTTATAAATCTGTCGGAATCTGTGGGTATTGGTGATTCCGAGATTGTAGAAAGCCTCTGTCTTTCTGCCCCGTTGCCAAAGAAGAAGCCATAATTCGTCTGTGCTGTTTTCAAGGTTGTTTATTTTTGCTTATCTATAACATGTTCTGCTGCCCTGCCGCAGGTCTGTCCTGCAGGGCAGCGTGCGGGGCTCTGCCCCTCAGTGGGATGGTACAAACATTATATACCAGAAACTACGTGTACTATATTTACAATAATGTGCCAATATCTATCATCTACGTTGAATAGTGTGTCCCTAGCCTAAACCAATAGAAAAATGCCAACATCACCAAGAACATGGAGGTAAGGAAGAAGAAGGAGGAAGAACAGGATCAGGCCCACTTTCCTCCATCTTAGAACTCCTGACCCCCCTGTACAAAGTAAAACCCCCCTGTACAGGTGTTAAAACCCCCCTGTACAATACTAAAAAATTTTACCCTCTAATTTGTGACTACTTTTACCATATCATCTAACCCTCTGTGACTGCTTGTTCCACCTTTAAAGTTGGTAATTCATTCCATGGTTCAAACTCAAAATCACAGCTGTTCTCAGCTGCTTGCCAGGGTCTAAAATGCTTCTGACCAAGGCCTGGAACCTCTAAAAATGTCTGAGGGACATTTTGAGTTCCGACATAAATCCATCTTTTTTAGTGTCATTTTTTCAGCAATCCGTGTATGCAACCCATGTTACGCTATTTATGCAAAAGTGGATAATGTGATTTTTTTTTTTATATGCCAATAAGGATTTGGGAACATTGAGGTGAAGTTCTTGATGTTTTTCACAACTAGACTACACAACATTTCACAACATTTGGTTAATTGGAGTACTCCTTTACAATCAGATGTATAACAAAGTGTTCAGGAGATGCTGCTCCTTGCTTGCAAACACTCAAGTTTTCATATTTGTCAGTCCTTGATGAACTACAACTGCATTTTTGGTACAAAAAACATTTGTACTACTACCTCAAACAATGTGTTTTCTTAACTTCATGGCTACAGCTTTCCTCTCAGTGCAGCTCCTGCTTCAAGCTAGGAAACCAAAGAACACTCCTTATGAACCAGTTGAAGGTAACACCCTGCCTCTCCCTCAAATTCTCGTATTTGGTCATGAAAAGGGGCCCTAGTCTCTTCCTTTTGTTGTGTATTCTGCTGCCATCCTGTGGCTATTTCTTTTCATTCACATCAAGATTTAACAAAATACTTGGGTTTGCACCTCATGCAAATTGTAGGTTCCACACTCTGTCCTCAAATTTCTACAAAACTTGTCTCTAAGAAGTACATTCCTTAATTTCTTATTTATTGATAAAGGAGGCATCTGGTTGACACTTGTAGAATAAGCATTTCAGAAGGTTGCAGCTGGATTGCGAAAGTAGTTGGGTGAAAATACACATAATTTTCCACAATGAAGAGTAACATTGAGTGTACATATACTTTTACAGTTCAGTGAAAAAAAACCCCAGCTTTTCTCATATGATGCTTTCCAGTGAGATGACATAAAGTGAATTGTTCATAATGGCATCTTGAATTGTCTCAGACAAATTCTACTTTTTTCAATATACTGGGTTTGATTTTGATGTGCAATCATTGAATCATTGAAGAAGCCTTCTGGTTTTGATTTTCTTTCCCCTTGAATTATGCATTTAGAGACAGGAAATATTTTTTTTCTCTGAGTCTTTTTCTTCCGGTTTTAGTCTTGAAGGTCTTGTGAAGTTGGTTTGATGGTGGATATGGTGTGGTTCTAGGCTGACAATTGGACTTGATAATCTTAAATGTATTTTCAAAACTATTTGATTCTATGATTTTAGGGTGTAATCCTGGTAGAAAACTCTTCCTAGCCTCTAAGATAGATGATATAGCTTGTAACATCATCAGTCTTCCTGCATTACAAAAAATTACTTTAGTAGCCTAATGGGTTTTGGTTTTATTTGGAATCTTCTTTCTGGGGAAAGAATAGGCTTCTAATCTGACCTGTCTAAACTGGAAATAAAAGAACATAATGAATTGCAGTGGACAAGTTCTCTATCTGTTGACAAAGTCTGCCTGATAATGTTTCTCAAGATACACATATGTATGTGAAGCACAGGCAGCCTTGTATTATTTAGAGTGTGCAGACACCATCTCATCAAGTCTTTGTCTGTGATGCCTTTTACACACACTGCTTTGTGTCTCTTTAATGGTGTCTGACCACTGCCCCTCATCAGGTCAGACACATACTCTGAAAATCTGTGTGGAGGATCAGTGTATGGCTTTTTTGTGGATAATGGGCTTCCATATCTTAGTTCTCTTTAAAGGGGTGAAGGTTATAGGAGGAATTTTCTAACCTTCTGTAGTTGTCGGATTTTTGCCTTAAGCACCAAATAAAATTTTGTGTTTCCAAACTCTTCCTGAAACATGAACATATTATGTAACATGTCAGTTTTAAAGAGATAAATGATAGTGGTTCAAGCAAATATTAAGATACATAGGGCTGCTAAGAACAATACTCCATGCTAACAGAATTAATATAAATTCCATCCTCTGCTTAACACACTTGGGTATGCTGTAGTGCCTAAGTTTTAATTTATCAATATGCATAAATGCAAAAATTTCTGCTGTTCTTTCTGCCTAGGAGCATTGCCATCTTGCTGAAGTTCAGCACTGCAGCACCTACTTCATGTCTAACATTTTTGGGAATTACAAATTGCCTGACACTCCCCAAGAGCATTGATACAGCACAGACTAGAGGGAAAAGGATGCTTTTCATAATGTGGTAAGCAGAACTTTATAATCCTTACACGTTTGCAGTTCCTAAATTAAGATATAATTGCCTGTTGCTTTACTCTGTCTGACATCTCTGAAGTGGCAAGCAAAAGGAGTGTTGCAGGTTAAAGTTGAGATGCCTATTTCTGCTGTTGCAATGCAACTATTTCCCTCCCATTTGCTTATAACTGTGCCACATTCCTTAAAGGCATAAATTTTCCACATTTTATGTTAGATTAGGCGGAAATGGTTTTAAAAGTTTAATTTCACACACTGGTCTATCTATATATATGTGCATGAACCACATGAAGAGAATTTGTCCATTTATCATCAATCAGAAATTGCAAGGCAACATCTGAACTAAATTTTGACAAACTAGCATCTTTGTAGTATCAGCTTGGAATCTAAAGTTGAGTATGAGGGAAAAAAGTGAAGCTGGCAGAATATTAAAATCATATGCATATATAGCAGGATTTTTTCTCATCACACTTGGGAACAACAGCATAACACTCACTGACACAGGAGAATTTTATGTTTTTTTCTGCTAATTTTTAAGTGACTGCAAGTATTGGCTGCTTTGGGAAACATTTTAACTTCTAAAATCTTAGCTTCAGAGCAGAGAGTAAACAGAAGCAAGAAAAGGGAAAAAAACTTGCTCCCAAAATTTGAATTGTAAGCTTCCAATACACACTTAGTAATACTTGTAAAATGTAGAGATACTGTGATACTGATACTTCAATACTGTGATACTGAACTTTGTCTGACACAATGGCCTGTTTTTAGCAAAAGACGACAGCTTTGTGTGGACAGCAAAAATTTTTAGATTCTGGTGAAGCATTTTGTTTGGTTACCTGTTTATTTTTTCCTAGCAAAGCCAAACTCCTGTGCTTTTTCCAGAATAGGTATATGCTAGACAATCATGATACAGGAAGCCAACATGTCACACACTGGCTATAAAAGCTGTGGACAGCATTAGAAAGGGTAGGGAAAGAAGCTGATGGGTTTTTAAACAACTTTTTTGGAGCAGGTATCTTCAATCATTAATAGTTTTCATCCAGTTTTGTTTTGCTTGCATGTGCATAATTTGGAGTGATGAATTTCTTGATAGTTAGAATCCACCAGTCAAAGAAAATGAAATCTTAGCATCCTGGAAATCACTGAAATTTGATTAATATGGAAGGATGAGAAGCAATCAACTTGCTTGACATGGTACTTATTGAAAAGAAAGCTAAAAAGCCCTGTAATTTTGAGTTGTGTAAATTATTTAACTTTCCACTAGGAATTAATTGACGGAGCAATAGGAAGATGGAATTTTTCCAGTCAGCAGCTCTTTATAATCACTATGTCTTGATAGGTCACACACAGATTCTGTAACAACTTAACTGTGCTATATTAATTTTCTAGCAAGATACTGACTCAGGCAACATAGTATTAGGATGTTTTTCTGCCTCGGTCATAACTCCTCGGTCAAATTTCTTTCCAGAATATTGCATACAACCATAAACTTTTCTCTCTACTGACAATGTGAAGATGAAGGCTAGTGTGAAGATGAAAATGTTCTCATTATTAGAGCTGCAGTTAAACAGGAAAGAATTCAAAATTCTTTTAAACAAAATAAGAATGGAAATTGAACTGGCAAGTATTACTTTACTTCATCACAGTAATTCTTATTACAATAGTAAAGATATTCAAAAGCTGGTTAGAAAAAGCATTTGTCTAAGTTCAAAATCTGTATGTAAAAAGCTGTGTACAGCATGGGGAAGGCCGTATGCCTAATCCTCAGAAACTCATCTTTGCCTTATCAACTGATACATTGAATTACAGGGTAGGAGACTGAGGGAATTTCTCCAATGAAGAATAGTTTTGCAGAGGAAAACATGAGTTATATTATTTACTGTGGAGACAAGTTCAAATATTAATTGAGGTAGACTACAACACTGCTTTACCATAGCCTCTGATGTCTTCATTCGAAGATAAGGAAAATGAAGCAGAGGGAGCCAGGCTGCTCACTTTAGCAAGACTTACAAAATCTCAGAATTATTTCATATCAGTCCAAGGTCCCACCACAGCCAGCATAACCAGTCTGTGACTGCTGGAGCATGGAAAGCCATCCAGCTGGCCCCCAGGTGTACAGCTCAGAGCAGGACGCATCGCTCCATGTGTTCCTTTCTGTTGTGTGACCAGGAGCAGAATGCATTTGCCTAAATGTTGTTTGCCATTTTATATTCTCTCATACTGACACCTCTGCACTTTTAACAAAGGATGAGCTGTAACATCAGTCTACTCAGTAATTCTGTGGCCAGCTGAGTACTGAGCTTTTGAGTTTTGGATTGTAGAATCCTCAATACAAAACTATCCTTACCTGCTGTATTCAGTTTGGATTTAGAGAATTCTTTTTCCACAAAAAATGAAAATTTGTTTTTTCTTCTCCATATGTGCCAGAAAAAAAGTTATTATGAAAACATTATGACCAAATATCCCATAGGTCCTGGAACTGTGAATGTGAACTTTATAAAGAGTTTCATGAGATTATTAGGCCCATTTCTGTTTGCATGGGCAAAAAAGCCAGCCCTGTCTGTCTGAGACAGTGCATCATCTCTGCAAACACTTGTAAAACTCTCTTCTTTGTGGAGTGTACTGGAAACCCACGAGAAAAACCTGTCCTCATTGCACTCTTTGCAGAATTCTCAAAGTTCACATTGCAGATGATGAGCCACCACTTATGAATTAGCATATTATATAAATCATGCTTGATTATAAGGGTATATTCCCACTCCTTCACCAGCACAATGAAAATAGAACAGGAAAAAAGAACTGTATGACTGTTTTATTTACGTAAAGACATGTCATTAAAATTCTTTTGATTTTCCTGAAGCAATTTTTTACATTAGTAGGAATACAGATCTGGCCTAATTTCCTATCTGCAAATTAATGAGGACTGGAGATATTTAAATTACAGTCAGTGAACTCAGATATTTAGAAAAGGGAATATCTCTGGTGAAAGAGATGTGTGAGGAAAAATACTGCAATGAAGATGGAAAAATAGAACTTTTTGTAGATTGGATGTATGACAATTTTCAGTATAGAGTGGTTTTTTATTTGGGTAAGGAAGTTAAAATAGGTATTGCAAACATAAATGGATGCTTGTCAAAGCTGGGCGGAGTTGGATTTTTCCTTGAAAATAAGAAGTTATTCTGCTTTTTCTCTTCTTTTGCCTTCATTGCTGTATGCGCTTTTCAGTCAGGGTTATATATCCACCCTAATCTGAACTGTCACAGACGTCAAATCTTTTGCTTTAATTCCTCAGTAGGGTACTGGACCTGATATGGCAGAGCTGCACAGAGAAAAGCAAGCTGGTTCCTAGAGGCAGTGTGCAGGTCACAGTAGGAGGTGGTGGAGTTGCAGAGCTTGTACAACAGCTGGATCAAGTGCAGCCTCATGCAGATATAGGCCCCCTCCCTACTAACATCAATGTCTACAAATTCTCTGTGCTCCATGGGGAGTCATGGAACACACATGCTGCACAAGCACACTTGTGTATTGTGCTTACTCTGTCCTTTTTCCTTACAACACATTCTTGAACTTACAGAATTTTTTCATTTATAAAAATTAAAATTATTTCATTTTTTCCTTTTTCTTCTTTACAATTGTTTTAAAGCCTACAAATATTTGAAGATAGACATCTCTGACTTTTTTATGTTACAAATTTTCAATTTGATAAGGAAAGCTTAAACCTTTGACAAAATAAAAAGTAATATTATTTTGATTATTTCTTTCATTAGTAATCATATTAATTTAAAGTCTTAATATATCTACTGAGTATGTACCTTTCCTTGACATTTTTGTTTCTAGTGTTTAAGAGCATTACCTTATTGACAGTCCACTTCACACAGTTCAATAATCTACCATTACATTCATCGTGCAAAATAATTATTATATTCTTGGAAACTGGCTGCAAAGAAGTGATTGATCAAGTGAAACTTGAGGACTGGATTGGAATGCAGAGGGGTTATGACAGAATAGGAAAATGGAAAAAATAATTTTAATTTTCAATGCAAAAAATAAATGTTTCTGAAATTTTTCCAACTCTGAGTTTCTGCCCAAGGGTCTTGCTGATGGCTGATCCCATTTCCTGCAGTACTCTGGCCTGTCAGGCAGTGCCTCAAACAGCCACTTACTGCATGGTGGCAAAGCTGGAAAATTTAAACTGGAAACCTAAAACTCCTGTGGGCTAAAAGATGCAAGTCTCTTGCAAGACAAAAAAGATCCTTCCAGCTCATCTCTTCTAAGGATTTAACAGAAGTTCTGCTGTGGACAGGCAAGGCAATGTGTAGCCACTTACTGGCCATACAGACTAAGTTAGTGCTTTTTGCCAAAGAAAGGTCCCACAAAGAACTGTTAGTTACAAACTCTGTGGAGATACGATGCTGTTTCAGTGCAGAGGTCTGGAGTAGATGTTCTCTTGAGGTTTAAATTTTTCTTATGAAATACATTGTGTGTGTCTGTATAGATTTTTTTCATCTGACCGCTAAAATGTTGTAGTACAGCTTCTCCATATTGGCAGGTGAGAAGAGGTTTTTATTGACTCATGTAAGAAAACTGACAGTTTTCCTCAGTCTTTAAGAGTGAACTCTCACTAATTAACTGTGGCCTTTGTTGCTGCTGACACGTGGCAGAAAGGTTCTGTGTACATTTTAAGATCAGCAGAAAGATTGGTTGGCAAAGATTTTCTGACCAATATATGCTCAACTTGCCAGTTTCAACCTACCAACATCCAAAGAAAATGTAAATAAACCCTTGAAAAGATAATCTCTTTTCGAGCTTGGTCTTAATCCAAATGGTTCTCATAATCCTCCCCATGTGTCAAACTGGTGTTACTCTCTTTCCTGGCATCCTCTATTAGAGAATTAATTTGAAAACTACTGAAATAATAAAACTGTATAGTTCCTACATGCAACAAATATTAATGTAAGGTTAAAAGTAATTAAATAAATTAAATCTCTATGATTG